GAAGGTTATTTGAAGTGTCTGCCACTTTGCTGGTGCTTAGTAGGGACTGAACAAATTTAAATTTTTCATACATTTTCATAAATTTTTCAGAAGCTTAGGATTATCAATTAGTATTTCATACCAGGGCATCTACAGTAATGGTAAGCAGTAGAGATGCTAACTTGATATTCAATAACATAAGGTGATTAGTGAGCCAAAACATACATTTCTGTGCTTTCCTCAGTAATGAAACCTACCTAGGATACGAATTAGGGTAAGCAGATGTTGACAGCGAGAGATGAATAGGAAAGACATGCAGAGAGCTAATAAAGAAGGCATCTGGAGCATTTGTAAAGAAAGTTTAAAAGCAGGTTTCATGCATGCAAACCTGGGTGGGGAGTACAGTCAGCTTACTGTGCTGACTTCATTCAGAGGTGGTATAATTAGAAGGTGCGACAAAGTTGCAGATACAACTTAATGTGGACACAGCCTATGAGATAGTTGGCATATTGTGGCTGGACAGTGTAAGAGCCAGATTCTAGTTGTTTGCATTGGATCAGTTCATTATGATGATAAGATCCTGGATTCGTCATGAAAAAGAGTGAATCAGGTAGAGAAGAAGAAAAGGTAAAACAAGAAGGATGGACCCAGTTCAGTGGAATTTATATTTTCTCCCTTTTTCTTCTATAATTTTGACTGTGAATAAACCTTGTTGCAAAAGAAAAGATCATTACTAACAGCATCAGTTGTGAATAAAAGCAGAAAAACAAGTTCATTTTATTGTACATAATTCTGCAGCAGAGGTTATTTGAAATATTCAATAGGGAATGAATTCATGCATGCATAAAATGTTTTGGGGGCAAACCCTACTAGAAGCTTGTCTGGGTCATAGGTTTGCCTAGCCTTTTCATTCTTGCAGCCTCAGCGGGTCAGTACTACTTTCTAATTCTAAGTTCTGAAAATTGCCTATGAGGTACATTCCTAATTCATTAAAAGTGGAAGACAGGTGTTCTATTGTTAGTTATGTTAAAACTGAACATAGTGATTGAACATATGATAAAATGTAATTCAACTTGGGCATTTTATTTTATGATCACAAGTTCTTAAATCTATGTAAGGTCCATTCCCTGGAATTTCTAGAAAAATGGAAAGAAAAGTTTTTCATATAGATTTTATTTGCAGTTATTGGTATGTGAAACAAAAATGCAGGTTGTATTAATATTTTAGCTTTCTGTGAAAAAATATTTCTAGTCAAGTTGCTAAAATGTAAAGAATATTAAATGTACAAATGAATAATACCTATTTAGAACTATGCTTCAAACACAGAAACCATCAAAGCCACTACCTATATGTTAGTATCAATAAAATACCAATTAAAGAAAATATAAGATAGAAAATAATATAAGAATATCTTTTAAGAGATATCTTAAGAAACTTTCTTTCTTATACAAAATCCTATGCCTTACCACAACACCACAATGCAGATATTGTCTTCAGCTTACAATGGAAAAAAACATGAGTTCTGAAGTATTAAATAAAATGTATAAAATCAAAGAAGAAACATCAAGCTCAAACTTTGAGGTTTTTATTTTTTTCCTGCCACATCCAAAAATTTCTAAGGCATTGCTGGATTCACTTAAGCTAGAACAAGTGGAAAATGTTCTAGAAATGGTATCCGTAGGATAATTTAATAACTGGAAAACATTTATCCACAGTGCTTCAAATATATATCTTCAGTTTGTTTGCTTCTGGCATTTTACTTATATTTGAAAATTCAATTTCAATTAAATCATATAGCCACCAATTAACTGCAAATGGAATTAGCCACTTTGAACAGTTGATCACTTTTATTTTCCTTTATTTAAGCAACTGAAAAACTGGTAATATGCACAAATTTTTTCTTAGAATTATTTTGTTGCAAGTGAGAAATTATTTCATCTCGAAATATATTTCATCTCGTGGAAATAAAGTGGGGAATGGGTTATAACAAATACATAGGAGAACCCTACAAAACGTTAGAACAAAAAATAGAGCTGGAAGTTACGGGAACCAGGACCAAAAACAAGGACAGTACAGGAACAAGAGTAGCTACTTATTACCTCTCTGTCTCCCTTTTCTAGTCTCTGTACATTTGCTCTACTTCCCTGCCTCTGTCAAAGAAATACCCTCTGCCATTCACGAGGCCTCCAGATGTCTGTTCTAGTTATGCCTATGTGTCGTATCTTGCTTTCCAGCTTCAAAAACTCTCACCTACTTACGGATTTGTAGTGCTTAGGTCTCTAGATCAAATTCTAAAGGGAGAAAATGTGACTGGCCCAGATGTGCTATGGACAGTTTGATTCCCTGAGAAGGAAAACCGCAAGACAGCAGAGTATAAACAAGGAAGCAGGGGCTGATACTTTGATACTTTCACCTTCTTTCATTTGCATCAAAATCACTTGGAGGCTGTGTTAAGACACAGATTTCTAACAAGTGCTTAGGTGATGGTAAGATTGCAGTTCGGGGACCATAAAGCACTAGTTACACGCATTGGGGCAGTAACAGTTCTCAACAAGAGAAAATGGGCAGAATACTCCAACGGTGTACTGACTGCACTTTTATCTGCAATTAAGCTGCTTTCATTATCCAGCTGTTTTTTTTTTTTCCATTGATGTATTAAATAGCTATTGAGAAGTTACTGCATAAGCAAATAAAAATTTGTATACCTGTATTTACAAAAATTAGTTCTTAGTAAATGTTGTCCACATACATGCCTGCATACTTAGCCTCATAGTGCATTATTCATATTAATATATATTTTTCAAAACACAGAAATCAAATATGTAGAAATAATTTACTGTTTTAATCTATGTATAGAATAATGAAATTTTCAGAAAATATAAGTGTATATTTTATACTTTATTCCTACTTTGCTAAATACTTACCATAAGTGCAATGTTGAAAATATAAACAAAACAAATAAAATAGTTTGTGTAGGTGTTTTGAGATTTTACTTGCTATAATTTTTCTTTATGAAGGAAAACTGTATGCCCATAAAGTCTTTGATCAAGTATAAATTTTACTGTTCACCATATTTTAAGGGTCAGAAGATTTTGAGAGGAATAAACTCTCTAAACCATTTCTTTTAAACTCTAGTCCCACAGTTACATGGTCCCCTGATGTATAAATACAAAGCCAATCAATCATCAGAGACAGAATATTTTGTTTGATGCACCCTTCTGAAGTGAAATTTTCCTACTTCATAATCTCAAATAATGTTTGGTTGCATAAACTATTCTGCCATTATCACAAATATTTGGTGAAAAGTACAAATAAAACTTGTTTCTTCATTATTTTATAATAGTTACTGAGATTAATAGTCAACAAATCACTAACAACATCATTTTGTTGCTAAAAATTTCCTACTGCACCCTAAACACAAATGCAATGGTAATAAATAATGGATAATTGAAAGTTTTATGAAGGGATGAAAAGGAGAGGGTGTGCCACAAATTACGCCATTGTGCTGCTTAAATTTCCCTATTATTTATTATATGTGGTCATTATCAACACTTCCTTTCCAAAGCCAGCTACCACATATCCCTCTACTCACAAAGTCCTCTAGACATTTCTAGGATATCCACTTTTTTTTTTTTAACCTCCATACAGAATCTCAAAATCCTGATAGCTTGCTTATTGTACTCTGCAAAACTTGCAGCGAGCTGAACAGTTTTTGAAAAACAGAGATTCAGTCCGTAGCTCAAAACTATTCTGCTGAAAGAAACTAAATCCATCCTCTTAACAAATAAAATAAATTTTATGTCTCAGCTGGAAAATAAATTCCATAATACCTAGACATATTTTTCCTAGAAGCTTTTGAGTGGAATTTTATGTGTGAAAGGCATTCAAACCAATGATTCTATGGAAAGGAAAATTTGAAATTGGACTGATCAATGAGCAACTGCCTCTGAAAGACTGCAAAAAGAACTTTTAAATATTCCACCACTTCCATTGCTAGAACTACTCTGGATATGTGTGTTGCTGATGTGTTTTATTGCGCTGCTTGGATAGGGTGAAAGATCTGGGAGGGTGAGAATATTCTACAGTGGTCCTTTTTGTCCTTTACCCTCAGCCTTTCCATTCCATTCCTTTTAGCACATGACTTTAACCACTAAGTTTTCTTTTCCACTATTCATGATGAAACAGCTACTAATCCACAAGAACAAGCTCCACCTCTTCCATGCACCACTTTGACCAGCTATTCTGAAAACTCTTGGATCTTCAGCTGACCCTCCCCTCACTATCCGTTTAAGATCCGTATAAAACGCCCCCCTTGATTGCATGTTAGAATACTCCTTTGTAGTCTGTAATTACCTGCCATTTTCCCATAAAATTTCCAAAATTACATTAGTGCCCTGGATGATTTTCTTCCCCCAGAAGTTTCCAGGAAATCCAATTGGGCAAAGTAATAGCTTTGTATGCATTTCAGGATACAGGGAAAAAAAATGATATTTCTCCTTTTCCAATGAATGTAATATTTTCTAATATATACAATATCAAATTCATAATAATAATAAAAAGCAATCAAGCCAACAAGCACAAAACACATTACACCAGCAATTATTTTTTATGATAATTTTGTCATACAGGAAATAGATTTCCTGTTGGTAACTGCTATTGAACAAGCTCCATAATTAATAGATGTTTAGAAGCCAACCACGTGAAAACAAGGGAAAGTTGTGGTTAAAGATGATGTCATTATTTTAGTACCTGTGATAAAATAAAAGACATCTAATTTTGGCATTGTTTAAGAAATATTATTTTACTTTTAGAAATACTCAATTTGAGGTAAGAGCAAGGCATGTATTATACTTATTAAAAGGCAGTAAGTAAGCAGTTGGGAATATATGAAACAATGAATTTAACCCTGTAATTCTTAATACCTTAGTAACTTTTGCTTAAATCCCCATCTCACTCTGTTGAAAAGTTACTGAAATCTCCCAAATTAAAAAAAAAAAATTCCCCAGAGTCTTCATTCCTACCTTCATTTTGGCCATAGATTCCTCATTTTGCTGAATCAATTTCATCTCAGTATGTCTGTCCATATACTTCCCTTCACAGAGCTAAAGAGAACACACGTGTCAAATGCCTTTGACTTAAAGACTGTGTCCTTGTAAGGACATTAGGACCTCCCTAATGAATTTATTCTCCTCTGTAGGGTCAGAACTGAGAATAAATAAAGTGGAAAAAGTGGTTTCCCTTTGGTAGGTTTCCATGTAAAGAAAGCAGTGAGAACTTTAAAAGATCTTTATATAAAACAATTGGCTGTGAATAGAACAAGAGAATAATAAAATTATTCCCATGTAGAAAAAGTGATCTATCTAGTAAAATTGGGTAATTGAATATGCTTTTATGACTTTGCCCATCAGTCTGGTATTTGGCAAAAATGTTGGTGGGAGTGATCTGAACGTTGGCACTGGCGTGAGAGACACAAGACAGCAGAAAGGGAACAAGGGATTGTCTGATGCTAGGGAGGGAAACCTGAAATATTAATAATATAGGGCAGAAATGCAAGTGAGGCAAGGAAGGAACAAAGAAGAAACAAGAGCATTTGAAATTCTGGAGGTGTCAGTTACTGATAACACATTTAATGTGAGCGAGGCAGATGGCTGTGGAGGCTATACCAAGGAGAGTGGTGATAGCCATTGAAAGCATTTAGAACAGACTCTGGGGTTACAGAATATGATGCTCCAAATGCAATTGCCAAATGACTTTGCTACTTGAAATGCCACTCCAGCCATTGTATCACAAGATATTAAAGGTCTGCAGTTCATTAGTTTCAAAGGAGTCTAAATGAGTAGCCACACTCATTATGAGGTCAGATAAGATTATGACTGTTTATCTTAATATGTCGGGGCTGAAAGGGGAAAAGACCAAAGATAATAAAATTGTAATTTAAAGAGAATGCAGTGTGATTCTAGGAAAGCTAAAAGCACAAAACCCAGTCCTTTTGAAAATGTGTTTTTCTCTATATATATGTTTATATTATTACATATATTATTTTATATTATCATAATGTCTAATTACCATACACAGTATTATTATATATGGTGATACATAATATGCTGTTATACAGCATGTATCATTTAATGACATCCAAGATGTTATAAAAATGAATTATAAATTACAAATTGGTTCATGACAAAATAATAAACCTACAACTTATGTGAAAAAGAGTTAGAGATTGTTAAGGCATGTTTCTAAACTTTTTAAATAGTTCTTCATGTGGGTATATATTCAAATGAGGAATACTAAGTTAAATGCAATTTAGTCAAATCTGACTTGAAAATGTCTATACTATTATGCTGTTATAATGGGACATTTGTTGGTATCGTTGTTGCTCTTCTGCTTCTTCAAGGGAAGACGAACCTCCTTTCTAGGCTTGGAGAAAGAATACTTACGTATCGGTCTTGGTAGTTAGTAAGACCAGAGAAGCCTAAAAGGATCAGTGTGCTCTCTCCCAGCCTCCTTTGCAAGGAATTATTAAAGTTCTATGGGTTATATGCATGCTACCTTAATTTGCTGGTAGGGACAGGCAGGGCATAAGTCATCAGCACGTGACCTGCCCTGAACCAGTTGTAAGCATCAATCCAAGAGCCAATGAAGCAAGGAGACTGGACCAGCAAGGCTCCCTTCCTGTACCCACAATTCACAGCGATATTCAGAGGCAAAGGCCGTGCAAGCGGAAGCAGCTAGTGCTGAGAAATGTTACCGAGATTGTCTTCACTAGGCAGCTGTGAGGAGTGACTTTCGACTTTGATTCTGACTGTCTAGGCTTTCATTGTTTCTTCTGGTTTTCAGAGCTAGTATTTGAAAGCATCTTGCAGGTTCTGTAAGCTAACACAATTAGCTCTTAGAAAATTCCTTCTTTGTTCAAATCCTCCAGAGCTGGTTTCTGTTGCCTTCAACTAAAAAAACCTTGACAAGTACAGTAGATAAGGCATAGTTTGGGATTATAACTTGATTTTTTTCATTTTCAGAATAAAATTTAACTTGTGAAGAGACGGATGCTCTCTCTCTATTCAAAAAATTGTTTTTGTCATAAGCACTATTCAAAAGGGATTTGTAATGTTAAAGAGAAAAAAAAAAGGATTTTAAATTGCTTTCTGCAGCAGAATGTGAGGCAGTGCAAAGTACAAACTGCTAAGCAGAGAGGAGACAATAGAAAGGAAAGACTGCTCTAAAGAGAAACTGACAGGACTAGTATAAAAAAAATAGTCTAGGTTTAAATTGCACATGTGACAAAAAGGTGTTGTGACAGGAAAAAAAAATATATCTGTTTACTCACAACCACCTTATCCTCACGCCAACAAACATATTTACACACTCTCTTAAGGAAGGTTCACATCAATGGATTTTTTTTTCCTAGTTGGTGCAAAGTTGTCTTCAATACAATACATTTTCACATAGTTGAACACAGGGTGAAGCAATTATGGTATTTGGATATCAAAACAAAATTGGAGGGACCTGAGCAGATGTAAATTTCTTTGTGTAATATAAAGGGAGATGGGGGGGATAGAGAGGAGGACCAGGAAGGAATGGAAAATGTCTGTGTCTGATGAGGATTTTTTCAGAGGGAGATTCTTGGTACTGTTTAATGAACCCTCCTTCATTTGCTCATCAAATCCATATGAAAATCTCTACTGGTCATAGTGGTTTGTGAGATATATTTTTATAGCAGGCAATGCTATAAAGCTCTGAAACTTGTTCTACATTATGCAAAGGTGAGAGAGAGAGGTGAACAATTAGAGGCAAGTTGCATCTGTGCTATGTGTTATTTCCATATTTATGTGGTCTTCTCTATGTGGATTAGAACTGCTAAAGGGGATAATTGAAGGAGAACTTTAAATCCTAAATATTATTTTTAAAATACCAAATACCATTGTAATGGTCTGAATGTCTGTGTCCCCCAACTTTCATATGTTGAAATCCTAACCTCCAAGGTGATGATATGAGGAGGAGGAGCTATGGAGAAGTAATTAGGAATGGGAATAGTGCTCTTATTAAAGTGGCCCCAGAGAACCACCTTGTTATTTTCCCCATGTGAGAACACACAGATAAAACATCATCTATGAACCAGGAAGCCCTCACCAGACACTGAATCCTGCTGGCATCTTGGACTTCCTAGTCCTCATAACTGAAGAAATAAATTCCCATTTGTAATAAGCTGTCTACTCTATTTTGTTATAGCAGCCCAAATGGACTGGGAAAACTATGGCTATCCAAATCAGATATTCTATAGATATAAAAATTAAAAAAAAAAAAGACTTTTGATACAGGAAGTCCCAATTTGCTCCATACCATTTGATTTACTCATTTGTTTAATGAATATATGTGCAGGAATCTAGGTATTATACTGTAAGATGGCAACAGTCCCTGTTCTCACGGAGATGGCTGAAGCATAAGAATTTAGAATTTCTAAAGTCATAGTGGTTATATATTCACCTCATAATACTCCAGTGGAAAACATTACATTATTTCTTTGTTCTTAATCATGTTAATGTTATAAATTGTTCAGAGCTCAAGCTAAACACAACAGCAAGAAATTCAAACTCAGCCGAGTCTGGGAGAACTTTTAATTCTTCCTATGGTTGAATAAATATTTAGGAAGCTTCTGTCCTGCTCAGAAAACAGGAAAGGTCTGACCCTTATTTTGTGGTGTTTACCAGAGTTACCTTTGCTCTCTCTGCTATAAGGTGTTGGTGAAACTAGTTCTCTGCCATCTATTGAAACTCTGATCCTCTAGGAAAAATTCTTTAAGAACACAGAGTTTAATAGCTATCTTTTATGGCCATCCTATCATCAGTTAAATAACCAGTTGGAGGTGCCACAGTGGACCAAATTGATCTTCACCATGAAGAGATATTAAAAACAGATAATAACACCTGAGCCCAGCCCTTACCTGGGAGCCGTGGCTTCTTTTTCCCCGAGGTTGAACAACCACCCATCTTATAACCTCTCCCCTTTCTGAGTTCCTCTGCTTGCCTCTATCTGGAGCTATTTTACCATCTCTACATCCAAAATAGTTCTTGAGTGAAGTGGTCTGTGTTTTGAGCTTGCAACCCAAGTACACCTAGAGGAAGTGAGAGCAATAAGAGGACAGTTCATTTAGTTCCTTTCTCAGAATAGAATTACAGGGAAAAAAATAGTTCACATTCTTTCAAGAAGGAACAAAGACAAAATTAATATTGCAGTGTATTATAATTTATTTAGTGGCATGCTCATTATGTACATGAACTCTTATTTGGTTAAAAGATTCACAAAAAGAAGATAGTTCAGCAAGCACCTGTGTTTTAGGATAAAACTCAGGTGAAATAACACTGGGAAGCATTGTTGTGAAGCTCTACAAGGCAATGAGAGAGAAAAGCATAATTTAAAGCCACCATGTTTGCCTAGTGATCAAAGTCTTTGGCCTTTAACAGAGACTTTTCGTAGCAGCTGGCAAAAGAGTGCCACACTGAGACATGACAGAGTGTGGAAAGGGAAAGCTAGGAAGAGATCATATCCTACTAAGAAGGCAAAGGGAATTTTATGTAAGGAGACATCACTACCAGGTATTGATTATGCTAACTGGTGCACACCAAGAAGGGTTGCCAGGTCAGATCTCCTATGCATTTGAAGTTGTATTCCTAAGTATTGCTAATTTTGTTTTGGGAAAATGATACGAACTTTATATTACATAATTCATAGCTAAAGAAAAACAAAGTACAGTGATATTGTATTTTACTTTTGAGATCTTTCTGTTGGGATTCAGTGTTAAAGGGAAGAAAATCACCCCTCAAATAACAACTGAAGGGTATGCCCATTTAAACAATCATTAAAACTAATGTAAACAGAATTAATTGCCGCTAACTGTGTATACACATTCCAACGGTTGCATGTGCTTGTCCAGACAGTTGCCATTTGTCGCTTGCATGCATGGCAGGGACAGTCCACACCTGAAGGATGAGAGGCAGCCTGGTCTGGCAGACCAGGATGGAAGCTTCTGTGTCACTGTAGACCTTCCTCAGGGAAGTCCATCTTCACTTTTAAACTCTCCAGTTTAAAATATTATAATGTAGTCTATACGCCACCGTCCTTGTAAAAGGCAGAAGACCCATCTCTTTGGGTCTTCCTGTTTCCTCTTTCAGTATTTATGGTATTTATGGCTACTGTTTTATCCCAGGCTTTCAGTTCACCCTTATTTGGACGATTCTAAGAGTCTTCTAACTGAACTTTCTCGCTAAGAGCCTGCCGGTTACTCACTCCATGCTCTATAGTGTCACCATAGTAACCTTCTTTAAATTTGGAATCTAAGCATATTATTATTCTGCCCCATTGCCTACAGTATACACTACTAAGTCTTTTGTATAATAGGCAAGATCCTCCATATTCCTACGTAAATGATTCTTATCCCTTAGCATTTAGCACAGTGCCCAGACTCTCTGTAGATAAATGTGTGCTGGGTAAACTGAATAAAGGAGTGATCAAGTACCCGTTTACCAAATGATGCCCTGATATCCAGAAATAGATGAATTTTGCTTATTTTTGTCAATTGTCTTAAAATTTCAAAGCTAGAAACTCTTCAATGTTATAATTCCTATGATTAGCCCATTCCATTTCGTTCAATTGCCTTGGTGGTAATCCATAATGGTAGTTTTGTTTACTGTCATATAGAAGAAAAGAAGATAATTTTAACACATTTTTATATTTCCTAAATATATTGTTTTATAATCAATTTTTACATAAATCTTTATGATGCTCTTAGAATATATTCATTGAAGCAGAATTCCAGGGCCAAAAATTACATAACACTTTAAGCCTTATGACACATATTGTAAAATGGTTCTGTAAAAATGCGCATCAGTTCAGACCCAGATTGTTAATGTTCTAACTAAATTGTAACACTTTGTGTAATTGTCAAAAAGGAAAGCACATTATTACACACATAACACAAATTTAACTTTGTTAGCTTAAAAACCTCATGCAGGGTCAATTATCACAAAAGGGAAATGTATTCATTCAACAACCATTTCTTAAACACTTGAGATGCACATGACCCCATCCTAGGTACACAGAGTCGTAAGAATTCGGCTTAATGGAGAAGATGGATATATAAACCGTCAAAATGCGCAAGTTAGTCTGAAGTCAAATAAAACCATTTGTTTTTTAAAAATATTATGGTATGATGTGTCCCCCAGGATTGCTCGTTAGTGGCACTTACTGATTTTTTTCTTTCTCAGAACGTGCTATGCTGTGATTTGTTCTTTAATTAACTTAGCAGACATCACGGGTACACAAAAGGAGTCTCACATCTTTCTCCATAAGATTTTTTAAGTCATATTTAGTCTTCGAGGCCAAATTTATCATCAAACTTTAACCCTGAAACCAAGATGTTTTTATGTATTTTATTTATATTTTAGTTTGTATTTACGTCTCAGCAATGGCAAATGACTCAAGTATTTTGTACAGAAACACTATAAAATTATTGCTTTGATGTGTCTAACATTAGAATGTCTAATTAGCAAGATAACTGAAACACTTTCAACACTTTCTATCATATTTTAATTCTAACCTAAATTGAATTAACTGCTCAGTTTCACAGTCTCTAACAAAGAGTGTGAAATAATCAAAAGTATTTGAATAAGCTTTTAATTTTTTAATAAATAATATGCTTTTATTCAAGCATACATTGTGAAAGAATTTGAGAAAACAAAATAGAAAATTACTTCATAGTGTTAAGTTATAATTGTTCTCTTTTAGTTTTTAAATATTTTGTTTACCTTCTTCAGGGAGAAATAGCAAATGAAATAAACTCATTGGTTTTTATAATTTTGAAAAATTTCTTTTAGAAGTCTAGTATGTTAGAGAGTCAAAATTTTCACCAATCGGCTGGGCGTGGTGGCTCACGCCTGTAATCCTAGCACTTTGGGAGGCCGAGGCGGGTGGATTGCTCAAGGTCAGGAGTTCGAAACCAGCCTGAGCGGAGAGATCAATGTATTTGATTATGTATGCTTACATGTGTATGCTCATGTATGATACATGCATGATAGCAACTGAAGGACCAAGAGGGAGGATACAGGGATAATTTTGCTTATTACAAGGCCTTGCAACTTCCTTGAGAAGTGATAATCTATTTGAAAGTGGACTTTGATTTAGTTCTGAAATGTTCATTGCAACTACAGTTAACAGTTGAGACACTATAACAAGGTATATACAGTCATGCATTGCTTAACTGATGGGGATATATTCGAGAAATGTTCTTAGTGATTTCATACTGTGTGAATATCACAAACCGTACTTCACAGATAGATATATAGCTCCTAATGCTAGGCTATATGCTATAGCCTGTTGTTTAGGTCAAACAAGTACAGATATTATGCATGAATACTGTAGCAATCGTATTTAATAACACCACAACGTAACATTTGTGTGTCTAAACATATCTAAACAGAGAAAGGCCAAGGTTTTATGCTATGAACATTACAATGGCTACGATGTTACTAGGTGATAGGAATTTTTCAGCTCCATTATAATTTATAGGCCCCACCATAGTATATGTTGTTCTATTATTGATCAAAATGTCATTAAGGTGGACTAATGACTGTCAACCTGATATGCCAGAAAGGAGAGAAAATGGAATCAATAAAAAAAGGTCATTAAAACACAAAAGCGCATGGTACACTGCCTGTATTCCCAGCTACTCAGGAAGCTGAAGCAGGATTGCTTGGGCCCAGGTTCAAGGTCACCCTGGGCAATAAGTGATATCTTGTCTTTAGAAAACAAAAACCCAGGAAGGCAGAAAAAGTATGGAAGGGAAACAAAAATAGAACAAGACAAGGGAACAAAGAAAACAGTAACAAATATAGTAGTACTAATCAAACTGTTCAAAAATAACGCTTAAATGTCTGCATAATGAAACAGATTTTAAAGTAAAAGGATGGGCTTGGGGTGCAGCCGGTTCACCCTGTAATCCCAGCCCTCTGGGAGGCTGAGGCTAGAGGATTGCTTGCGCTCAGCAGTTCGAGACCAGACTGGAGCAAGAGGCAGACCCCTCTCCACTGAAAAATAGAAAAATTAGCCCAGCATCCTGGCACGCCGTGTAGTCCCAGCTACTCAGGAGTTGAGGCAGGAGGATCAGCTTGAAGCCCAGGATGTTTGAGGTGCTGTGAGCTAGGCTGAAGCCACGGCACCTGCCTAGCCCAGGCAAAGAGGCAAGACTCTGTCCTCAAAACAAACAAACAAAA